GACTTCTTATATTGATAACATTAAATCAAGAGTAAACTTCGTAAGTGAAGTTTACTTCCAAAGTTCTATTTCAAAATAAGATCTCTGATGTGGTTAGAATATTATTTTAACTGTTTTTAAAGTTAAGACCTATCAATGGACATGACTCTTCTATTTACCAACAGGATTAGTTTCTGAAAACTGCTTTCAGACTCCTGGCATGTTCTTTTCATCTTCTGTGTTAGAGTATTAGTGCTCTGAGGCTGTATTTGAGTGAAATAGAGCTAATAAGCTGGGTTTATTTGAGTAAAATTTTTGGAGTAAAAAATAAGAGTGACACATAAATATTGAAAATGGACTTCCTTCACCTGGTTTATCAACTAGATATGAAAACAGTTCCAAAAAGAGAGATTTTCAAAATGTTTAGCGCTTTGGAAAATAAGTGAGTCAGAGTGGGACCTCCCAAGAAGGCTACTTTGAAGAACTAAATTCACTTGGATGAATAAATTATGGATATTTGTTACAAAGGGCAATTCTGATGTAGCTTAGCAAATTTTGCTTCAAAATCCTGTCGGATAAAACCTTAGAAAAGGTGTTTGAGTAATCAGGAAATAATTAAGACTCTCAGACCTGCTAATTTTCATTAGGTGAGGGAATACTTGAAAATGGAAGTCATATTAACCAGAAGTTCCAGGTGACATGCATCTTTATTAAAAGAAACAGAAGTAAATAGTACATTAATTAAACTTTCAAATACACACAATAAGAAGGCTTTAAAAATGCCAGTAAGGGAAGAGAAATAATATAATGGACTTCGATAAAAATATCAAACAATTAAAATGAGAAATAATAAAATTAGGCTTTGATGCTTATAAGTTTACAGATCCAGAAAGAATGCCACAATTTAAATAAATTATTGCATCATGGACTTTCCTGATTTTAGGATCAGTCTTATTGACTATCTAGTATCAATCCAGTAGCAGAATTACCTGCATTTACACATTTCCAAAGTCAAAATGCGTTCCTAATATTCTCAAAGATTAAGACTCGGACCTATCCAGGGCATAAAAACTAAAACATAATTTATCTAAATGTTAAATCATGTAAATCTTAATCACTCCACACCTCTTAATATTTTTTAAAAGGAAACCAGCTACCCTTAGTATCTACTTTAACAGTTTTAAAATATTCTCTGCCTTCTGACTCAGTCCATCTTTATAATAGTATCTCCCATTAAACCTGTTGCCATCTTCTATCCTCACCTACCAGGTATTCACCAGCAAACCCCAAGCTTTCTAACACCTAAGCCTTTCCTCACGTGTCCACTTCTAGCCATTCACTTCCTACTCCTTTTCACCCTATTCTATGCTTATCTAAATCTGATATTCAAAACCCATCTTCAAAACCTAGACAGAATGCTACTTCCTTTATGAAAAATGTCTTTCTTCCTAACCAAAAGTAATTACTTCCAATTCTATGCCCTCATGCCTCTTGCCAGTTTCTGTAATAAATCAGAGATCTCTGAATGACTATCCATTTCCTCTGCTAAACTATTACTTTCTTAAAGTCTACACATACTTTATTATCCTCTTCGGTGTCTAGCACATTGTCAGCAATTAGCATATTATTAATATGCATTTGTTAATGAGTAAATGACCTCTTTTGAAAAGGAGATGTAAAAAGGAAATCTGTGTATTTTTTCTTAAAGAAATAGGGATATAGAGAAAAAGATACAATTCTGTCCATCTTCTCAATGTAACCTGAATCAGATGATTGTTGAATAGTATAGGTATTTTCATTTAAGGCAAATATGCTTTAAAACTAGACTATAATAGTAAAACAAAGCAACAACTTTTTCACATCTCCAGGTGACTAATGTATGCCTTTTATAATGTTAATGCCATATGAAGTCCTCTCTTTGTGCAGGAAGATTAATACATTACATGGTGAATATTTAGAGAAAATATCATGCTCACTTATGCTACTTACTAATCTGTGGGACATTATTTAATATTGATGAGTCTCAGTTTCCACATTTTTAAGGTAGGAATAATCATTGTCAGCCTTATCTCTTTCACAAGTTTTTTGAAACTTTTTCTCAAGTCATAAGTTGTAAGAGATAAAAAGATAATGTAAGTGATAGCACTTTGTAAATTATAAAATTCTATATAAGAGTATAAGAGAGAGATCAACATAAGGGACATTAAAATAGTGATATGAGTAAAAGACTGAGTGAGTAAATATCTAAAACATGTCAGATTCTTTAGATCGAATTTATATAAAATATGAAATGCTTGAAGCCAGGAAGGATTTTGCTATGCAATAACTTAAGATTCCATCACAAAAAACTGAGCAATTCCATAGGGGCAAATCTTAAGATTACTGAATTATTTTGCTGCTTTGTGATTTCTATAAAATTGCAGATTCAGTCTGAGGGATCCTTATAGATAAGAGAGTACCAGGCCTGAAATAATCTTCAATCTAATTTACTTACTACTACCATTTAGGAAGAATGATTTTACTTCTTTCTCTCATACTATTGAGGTCAGTTTAGTAAAACTCTGAGATCTTTTCCATCATACTTTGTGGCATCCTGAAGTTTTTTTGTTTTTTGTTTTTGCGGTACATGGGCCTCTCACTGTTGTGGCCTCTCCCATTGTGGAGCACAGGCTCCGGATGCGCAGGCTCAGCGGCCATGGCTCACAGGCCTAGCCGCTCCGCGGCATGCAGGATCTTCCCAGACCAGGGCACGAACCCGTGTCCCCTGCATCGGCAGGCAGACTCTCAACCACTGCGCCACCAGGGAAGCCCCCTGAAGTTTTAATAAACTTGCTGAAAAGGAATATAGATTGTGAAAACCAAGGATTAAAAGGAATCTGAATATTCCTTTATTCCAAACACCACCCAGACCTGGAATTCATCTATAGTATCCCCGCTATGTCCAGTCTTGACATGGATGGATCCAGCTTGGAAAAAGGGATGGAAATCAACTGCTGATCCCTAAATCAATTAAGTAAAAATATGATATCCCCTCACTTTTGATGTGTGTGAAAGGGTTGGTTTGCCCCACATAGAGCAGAGACACACAGAACCTCACTGCTGTTTCCCTTGTCATTCCTTCCCTCTTGGTCATCCAGGTCCATGGTACATGGTTCCAAATTAGCTAGGGCAATTAACAAACAAACTTTCAGTTTTAATTCCCTTTCTCTTTTTTTCTTTTAATTAATTAATTTATTATTTTTGCCTGCATTGGGTCTTCATTACTGCACGTGGGCTTTCTCTAGTTGCGGCGAGCAGGGGCTACTCTTTGGTGCGGTTCATGGGCTTCTCATTGCGGTGGCTTCTCTTGTCGCAGAGCACGGGCTCTAGGCACGTCGGCTTCAGGAGTTGTGGCACGTGGGCTCGGTAGTTGTGGCTCATGGGCTCTAGAACGCAGGCTCAGTAGCTGTGGCACACGGGCTTAGTTGCTCTGCGGCATGTGGGATCTTCCCAGACCAGTGAGTGAACCTGTGTACCCTGCATTGGCAGGCAGATTCTTCACCACTTTGCCACCAGGGAAGTCCCCCTTTCTGTCTCTTTTTTTTTGGTGGTACGCGGGCCTCTCACTGTTGTGGCCTCTCCCGTTGCGGAGCACAGGCTCCGGACGCGCAGGCTCAGCGGCCATGGCTCACGGGCCTAGCCACTCGGCGGCATGTGGGATCTTCCCGGACCGGGGCACAAACCCGTGTCCCCTGCATCGGCAGGCGGACTCTCAACCACTGCGCCACCAGGGAAACCCCCCACCGTTTCTGTCTTAATGAGATTTTATCAGCATACCTACAGACATTTTCTAAGAGCAAGGCTCTACTAGGATTAAACTTGTGATGGATTTTGCAGTTGCCCTAGAAGTTCCAGCTTCTTTCCCAAAGGAGCCACTGAACAGAGCCTGTCTTGAATAGCAGGTGAACCGTGAAGTGTTAGATTCTGTTAAAGTCACTGTGACCCCTCTTAGAGCCTGCACAGGGGCCTCAAGGATTATCAACATTTAGTAGCTACATGATCAAAATGCCAAGATGTCTGTAAATGATTTGGCTAATCCTCATATTGTGCTTGTGGTTAATGTCATTATTTAAAACTTGATTCAGACTGGCAGTAATTAATAAGTATAATGAATGGAATCTTTAAATCTTGTATTTTGGATAAATCGTATTGCCATTCAAAGAGCAGCAAAAACTTAACTAATCATAACCAAAATTAACCATGTTTCTTCCCTCGCCTCTGCCCTACACCTGAAGGTTAAAATTTAACCTGGTGTAAAAATTGAATTTTAACTTTATGTTCATGTCATAATTAAAATACGAGTAGTCAAATGAAACCTACCATTACATGTCTTATTTCATGTTACCATCATATCATTTAATCAGATTGGAAGGTAGCTGGTTTCCCTATCTATTAAAGGAACATAATTTACAACTCAGGGATATCAGACAGAAAGTTACCTGATGCAAGTGGGAGAACAAAGTCATTTTTCCTGAGTCGTCATGATCTTGGGGTGACCTGATACAGAAACCGATGCCATGGAGTTCTTTTTCAATCAAGCTCAATGAACTAAAATCTGTGCTGGAAAAAAATGCTACACATAGAAAACAAACTCATGGTTACCAAAGGGGAAAGGGGGGTCAGGGAGAGATATATTAGGAGGTTGGGATTAACATATATACACTACTACATATAAAATAGATAACCAACAAGGGCCTACTGTAGAGCACAGGGAACTCTACTCAATATTCAGTAATAACCTATATGGGAAAAGAATCTGAAAAAGAATGGATACATGTATATGTATAACTGAATCACTTTGCTATACACCTGAAACTAACACAACACTGTATTGATAAATCAACTATACTCCAACATAAAATAAAAATTTAAAAAAAACTACATCTAGAAATCAGATTTCTATTTTTAATTCCTTTATGTCAATTTGTCTGTGTCTGTATGGTATATGAGGCCTTAACACTCTCTCTCTGTGTCTCTCTTAGAAGATAAAGGGAAGTTGAAAGTCAGCAGTTCCAGTCAGGCATCAAGCTCTGAAGGTGGCTCATTTCTCCCCAAACCTGGTACAACACCCCTGCCACCCGGAGCAGCCACTTCTCCCTCCAAGAGCACAAACGGAGCTCCTGGTACTGTTTCTGAATCAGAAGAAGAAAAAGCCAAAAAATTACTTTATTGTTCACTATGCAAAGTGGCTGTGAACTCCCTGTCACAGCTAGAGGCACACAACACAGGTTAGCATCTATTGTTTACATTTAAATAATGTTTATAACAAGATTCACCTTTTCTCATCAGAATACCTTATCTTTTGTTGTTCAAACATTAGGTTTCTTCAGTCTTCTCTACTTTTTTGATTCAAAGGAGTGATTTTAAGAAATGTACGATATAACAACTTTAGAAACAGCAAGGCAAAAGTAGGTTGGGGATAAAACTTGTTCTGTTCTTTATTTTCTCAAAAGCATCTAATACTTCCCAAAACTCATTATGATGAAGTGACAGAAATGAAGACAAATATCTATGCACAATGTTCACTGCAACACACTTCTAAGAGAAAAAAATGGAAACAACCTAATATTTCCTCAGTAGGGAAATGTTGAGCGAATTGTAGTCCCAATATGATAGAATATATTACTCAGCCATTAAAGTGTAATTATAAGAAAATATGTATATGATTTGATATGTGAAATTTTCGGGATATTTAATTAGCATGATCCCAATTTTGAAAATACACTTTTCAGTATACCAAAAAAAGAAGCTGAAAAGAAATACACTAAAAGGATAACAGTGGTTATCTCTGGGTGGTGAAAACAGAGGTAATGTTTGTTTTCTTATGCTTCTCTATATTTTCTTTATTATATACTCATGGTTTCTCATTTTTTTACAGTGAAAATGTGTTAAATCTATAATCAACATTAAAACCATCATTAAAAAATGTCTTGGGAAGTTCAGCCCGAAGATAAACTTTTCAAGAGCTTCATATAGTTCGTAAATAGCTATTTAATATATGTTTCTTTCTGTCTTAGGATCTAAACACAAGACCATGGTTGAAGCTCGTAATGGGGCTGGTCCAATTAAGTCCTATCCTAGACCTGGATCAAGATTAAAGATGCAGAATGGCACTAAGGGGTCAGGACTACAGAACAAGACATTTCATTGTGAAATCTGTGATGTTCACGTTAATTCAGAAATTCAGCTCAAACAGGTAATGTATCCTGAATTAGTAGTCACTGTCGCTTGGGGTCACCCTTTGACTATGTATCTCCTAATCTATATAATGGTTCTCACTTTGCTCACAGTTAAATTTCCTAACTTTATAGGATACCTATGGTATACAACATACAGGTGCTATGTGGAAGAAAAAGTACCAAATATCTGTGCACCTACTATTACTACATGTCAGACTCTAGGCTTGGTGTTAGAGACCAATGAGCACAGCAGTCACCTGGAGCTTACAGTTGAGCAGGAACTTCTAAGATAGTAAATGTTCAGCCTGTCTTCCAAGGACCCAAAATCTGCTTAGGGAGACAGACTCATCAGTCACGGTGATAATACCAGGCAAAGTCGGAGGAGTGCTATAGAGAAAGGAAAGGGACAGAGGTGTTACAATAGAGTGGGGAGCAAGTCTTAATTTAGAGGGTGTGGCGATCTTACCCACACCACCATGGAACCATGGACCTAGAACTGGGAATGGAGGAACCAACTACCTCTGTCTAGGAAATATGTTTTACATGGCATAAAACTCACATGTAGACTCAGCTAATGCATCAAACTTTTTTCAGCACATTTCTAGCAGAAGGCATAAGGATCGAGTTGCAGGGAAACCACTGAAGCCGAAGTACAGCCCTTACAATAAACTCCAGCGGAGCCCAAGCATTTTAGCAGTAAGTTCACTTCGCCTACTTGTCTGTTTTGTGGGGCAGCCTTGCTGGCTGGGGCAGGCACTGTGGGTAAGGAGGGCCTAGGGTCTAATTGGTCCTGAAAAGGTTTTGAACTTAAATAGCCCTCATAGAGAGAAGCTTTAGAATGAACTTAGTCCCTGCTGGAGGACACCTTGAAGAAAGTTCCCTTAGAAAAAAAGAAACTGAACCTCCTTAAGGGCTAATACCTTACTCTTCACCAGGACCTTTTCAAGAGATTCCCTTCTTCAGCATATACAGAAAAGTAAAGGCTCAGGAACAAGGGCAATGATGCCTGAGGAATCTTGGAACATGTTAAACCTGGGGGAAGGGATTGCTTTCCAAACACAAAATCCATCTATTTAATATCCTCCTCCTTTCTGGGGTGTTCCCCCCACCTCTTTCTCTCTCTTTCCCCAATAAGTACAGTGGCTGTGTGTATTCCTCTCTCTTTCCCTGTCTAGTAGGCATGTTGATAGTCAGCCTGTCTTACCTGCTCTCAAAATGTGCTATTTTCAGTATCTTGGTAAAAACATTAAGGGCCTCCACCAATAGATGTCATATAAATACCCAGATGGATGGATTTCCTAGTCTCCCTGGGACTCAGCCCAGCGTGGTGTTCTGCTGAGGTTGAAAGCTGGGATTGGCCAGCTGAAGGCGATACTGACATTACCTCCAGTTTTTCCAAAGCTCAGTCGATGCTGCATGCAGGCATTTTACGCATTAAGTAAATCCAGCTTGCAAAACTCCTCCTGATTGCAAAAGAGAGGGATTAAGGATTGATTTCTTACTTCACAGGAAGATTCCACCTTGGGATTCCTTCTAAATAGAGAAAGTTTCTAGCCCATTTACAATCATTGCCAATGACAAATTTGAGTTAGCTGCAGTTTTTCAAGTAATACTTTTTAAGTGCCCAGAGAGGTGTAAACTGACTTTGTTTTCGTGACTGTTCATGGGTCCCCAAGGTCCCAAACTCCAGTTACCTAACCCAATGCGGCTTTTTTAAGAGGAGGTGAAGTAAAGGGTAATGCATATTCTCCAAAAAGCCTCTTTGTGTTTTAAAACAAGTCATTAGTTTGAATTGAGCTCCATAATCTAAGCAGGAAACCTTCTGGGTGTGTTTGTTTTTTCCTTGTGAGCAGCAGCATAAAAATACTTTCAGTATCTATTCAGAGAGGCTTTCCTCTGTCCTAGTGCCCAGGGGCAAGGACCACCAGAAAAGAGTTGAAATGGAAACAAATCAAAGAAAAGGTATGCCAAGAACCTTTGAAACCAGCTTTGTGAAAATAATCCTGTCTTGACTTCTGAGAGTTAAGATGTTTACATTTTGACTTCTGAATGTCGCTCTTTTACTTGTGAAAATATCTGTGCTGCTGTTATTCAAAACAATCTCCCCACCCCACTCCTGGTTTTCTCCCTCTATTAGGCAAAACTTGCATTCCAGAAGGATATGATGAAGCCTTTGGCCCCGGCCTTCCTGTCCTCGCCCCTGGCAGCGGCGGCGGCAGTGTCCTCCGCGCTGTCACTGCCACCCCGGCCGTCGGCCTCGCTCTTCCAGGCTCCAGCCATCCCTCCTGCTCTGCTGAGGCCCGGCCACGGCCCCATCCGCGCCACTCCCGCCTCCATCCTCTTCGCCCCGTACTAATGTCTGCAAGCCCCCAGACGGTTGAGGCCAGTAGGAAAGTAGAGCAGGAAAGCCAAAAGGATTCAGCAGTTTGAGCATTTGGTGTTGCAGTGACCCACCCAACTGCAAAATGCAGGGTACCACCTGAGCCCCAACTCCAAAGAGTAAGTCGCTAGATTCGAGAGTGCTTTTTGGGGCCGCTCCTATAATTTCAGAATCTGAGCAAGCAGAAGCTTTATCTCCCTAGTCCCTCCCCCTGCCCTACCCCATACAATTTGTGTATCTGAGATATTTAGTTTCTTGCAAATGTATTGGTCAGAAAAAAAATATATATAGATACATATATATCATTTTCTGACTATTTTTCCGTGGGTGTGATCTGGCTTAGAAACAATATGGAATATCTTCCTGACAGACTTGAAAACTAGGGTCTTCCTCACACGTCTGTAAATAATCCTGGAATCCAACTGGGCACATTCTAGTGTGGAACAAAAATAGATGAACACAAGTGCTTACTTGTGGATACCATCTTACCAACGGATCACAGCGTTTTCTTTTTGGTGTACTATTGTTGACAGGGATTGTGTACTGTTTTAGACCCAAGTACTGTTGTATCCTGTGTAGTACTAGATCTGTATCTCTTGTCTGAATTAAACATTTTTAGTTGCTGTGTAAATGTTAGGAAGCAAAGTAGCTTTGAATTTTCTCTTTAAGAGAACAAAAGATAACGTATTTTCTTTATTTTACATTTTATTTGGTGATATTTAAACGAAATAGAAAGCCATATAACATAGCTCTAATTACTACCTGTCTGCTATTTTTGTTTAACTTATTTTGTAGCTTCCTCACCAGTTTGAGTTGCTAAGCAAATGTATACAAACAGAAAAAGAGCTTCCTAAATTGCACATTTTTGCACCTCTTGTGTGTTCAGCAAGAAGACAATGAATCCATGTATTTCTACATCATTATCTTCTTCATTTTTAATGTGTTTTCATTTGTAATGATGCTACATAATTTTGTGGCTCCCTAATGCAATAATGTACAGAAGATAAAAAAAAATTTATAATTGAACAATCTGTCTTTCTGTTCACTGAATCTGTTGCAGGTCATGCTCCCATGCCCCCGTTTCTAAGCTGATATCAACAGGACTGGAATGTTAGTCATATCAGGGGCAAGAGGTATAAGACAGCAAAATAGAGTGAACTCTTTTAGAGCATCTATATCTGCAGTCTGTAAATGGTAAAATGTCTGTGTATTTTTTTAAATGTACCTTTTCAATAAAAGTACAAAAAATAAAAATCTGTTTGTATTTTCAAAGTTATTTTCTGTTGAGACACCTCCAATTTGAAATCATCTGAAGGCTTTTCAGTAGGTGCAAAGATTGCTTCTTACATATTTAGCATTGTCAGTTCTTATTTGCAGCATATTTATTTGTCATGTGTATTCATTACTGTTTACAGCGTCTGCATGAAGCAAGACTTTACTGCTGTTTTCTCTGAATCTCTGAGAAGTTGAACCAAAGTTGTGAGTGTGGCCCAAAATCACAGTAGCGGTCTACCAAAAACTGTGACACGATTTTTAAACACTCTGTGAGTCTTCTAAATTCCTAACTCATCTTTTATTTGTGTCCAATGCAATAATGATCTCCTTTTAGAGGATTTGATTCCACTGCTCCCCTCTGACCTTCTCTAATCAGCCAACCCTTCTTTTCTTCCACTTCATTCTGTTTTTAAGTGTAAAGAGCAATATATCACTGTTTTTTCTGGTTTTCTGCTTCATGGACTACTCTAATACATAGTGGCTTAAAATAAAACCATTTTATTATGTGACAATTTCAGGGGTCAGGAATTCCAGCAAGGCTTGGCTGGGCTGTTCTGTTCCCCAAGTCCTCATTAGGAGATCCCTGGATCGTATTCATCTGGTGGGTGGGCTGGTGTGGAAGCCAAAATAGCTTTGCTCATATGTCTGCCTGGATGGAGGGGCTGGGAGGCTGGATCCTACTGGAACAGTCTATCAGAGGGCCTTTGGGTGGTCTCCCTAGCTAAGTGGTCTCAGGTAGTTACATAGAAACTCAGGGTGCCCAGCGAGAGCATTTGAAGAGGTTCTGGGTGGAAGTGAAAAGTCTTCCTATAAAACTGTCTCAAAACTCCCAGCATGTCACGTATGCTGCATTCTATTGATAAAGCAAGTCACCAAGACCAGTCCAGATTCAAACGGAAGTTGATTAATCACTTTTCAATGTGAAGAGCAAAGAATGTATGGCCATCTTTAATCTACTGCTCTGTTATAGAATTTTAAGGGGAGTGTTAATAGCTTTGTAGCCATTATAGATTCCCCTTCTTTTTTAGGTTAAGAAGAATTGGGGTGGGAGTAGAACCTAAATTCTCATTTCTAAAAAATTAAGGCCAGTGGATGGCTGCGCAGCTGTGATACATGGGAACAGACTTCCTCTATCAAAGAGTTAATCCGACTGTTTGAAAACTGTTGACCTCAATATTCTAAGCTTATAATTAGTTTTAGAGTCTATTAAGATTCCAGTTTGACATTCAGAATTTGAGGGGTTTTTTAAATATGACTCTTTTGAACTCTGACCACTTGTTACATTAAACCTTGGTTGGACCTTCAGACATACTCTGAAGGAACTGTGTTTTAGTTTAACTCTTTGGAGAAGATTTTTTTTAATAGACACCATTGACAATTATATTTTATTTCTCTTGTATCATTTTATATCTCATTAAATCTTTCTACAATCCTCAAAAAATTTAAAATATCAACATATAAATAGACCTAGGAACTTACTGATTATTATAGAGTTTAAGTTTTAAAAAATCACCTCAGGGAGGAAGTACAAAAGAATAACAATTAATTAAAATGCATGCCTCCAAAAGAAGCCATCAATAGCTTCAAGCAATGATTTATAAAACACTCTCAAACAGCTATATCTTATCCACCCTGATTCTGAGGTGGCAGAGTGGGTCTGAGGGGATGTATATATATTTGAACTAATACGCCTTCCTATGCCATTTGTAGTGGGAAATGACTAACATTCTACCCCTGCCGCCCCCCGCCCCAACTTATTCAGAAAGTTAAAACATGTGCTGCTTACTCTGAAATAGTCCAGCTCTGGTCTCTGTAGAATCTGAAAACTGGTCTCACACAGGATTGCCAGATAAAATATAAAACACCTAGTTAAATTTTGATTTCAGATAAATAATAATTTTAGTACAATATTTTCATAATTTTTATTATGATATTGCATATAGATTAATATGTTCCATAAATAAGTATGCTATATCTAGGACATATGGATACCAAAACAATATTTGTTGTCTATCTGAAATTCAAATTTAAGTGGACAGCTTGTATTTTTCTTTGTTAAATCTGGCAACCTTGTCCCAGGAGCATTCCTGTTCTTCTCAAGTACCATAATTCTTCAGGAGAGAAGTGACCTCCTGGGTATTAAAAGCTAAATAATGCGTTTTTTAAAGGCACACGTGAAATGCACTCACAAATAGGCAGAGGAAGGAACTTTCAATAAGTAAATGTCAATGATATATTGACATTGGATAGGACCAGGACCCGGGAATATGCAGCTGCAGATGCCTCTAACTTTTACCTGTTTAACAAGATTAAAGGATTGTGAAAGCAAAAAAAACCACCAAATTTTTCATTTGTATTATGCACCAAATATATCACCCTTGATTTGTTTCTTATCTGCCCTAAGGGAATTCTTATTTTCTGGAGCAGAAATCGTTGTGGTTGTGTAGAATTTTTCTCCCAGAAAATGCTTTAAGGAAAATTACACTACAGTTAATGTAGCTAAGAAAGAGAACCAAAGGATTCTCATTGGAAAAAAAAAAAAAAAGGAGAAAGAGCTGAAAGAACATCAGGTGAAAATCCTATTGTGCTAAGTCTCCCTTTGGAAGTCTAAAGAGATTCACTGAGAATGAATTTGGGGATGTTTTGAGGAATGGGTGCGCCCACTGCTTGGGGTGCCATTGGAGAGAGGGATCATAGCAAGACGGGGGAGACGACCAGGAACTCTTTTTTTTTTTTTTTTTTTTTTCGGTACGCGGGCCTCTCACTGCTGTGGCCTCTCCCGCCGCGGAGCACAGGCTCCAAACGCGCAGGCTCAGCGGCCATGGCTCACGGGCCCAGCCGCTCCGCGGCATGTGGGATCTTCCCGGAACCGGGGCACGAACCCGCGTCCTCTGCATTGGAAGGGGGACTCTTAACCACTGCGCCACCAGGGACGCCCCCAGGAACTCTTTTTTTGTTTGTTTGTTTGTTTTTGCGGTACGCGGGCCTCTCACCGTTGTGTCCTCTCCCGTTGCGGAGCACAGGCTCCGGACGCGCAGGCTCAGCAGCCATGGCTCATGGGCCCAGCCGCTCCGCGGCATGTGGGATCCTCCCGGACCGGGACACGAACCCGTGTCCCCTGCCTCGGCAGACGGACTCTCAACCACTGCGCCACCAGGGAAGCCCCCGGGAAGCCCCCAGGAAGCCCCCAGGAACTCTTCGATAGATAAAGATTAAGTCAGCATCAAGACATACACCCTCGGTAAGCACAAGCATCTACAGGTAACAGGCGGAAGGATTTCATTTCACCTCTCTAGTTCTGCTGTGTGGATTCTGGTCTCTCTTTGTAGTTTTCCTTCCATCAGGTCTTTGTTTTGTTAATATGATGGCCCTCAATATCACAGGTGGCATGGCCTCTCCGAGAAAATACCAGTTTCTGGTACCTTGGTAGGTTGAGGAGAAGCTGTGTATTGAAAGAAAAAAGTCCACAGGGGATGCTCAGCTTTCCCTCCTTCCTTCCCCCAAGTAATTAGCTCCACGGGAGAATTCAAAAGGGACATGGTGCAGGTTCTCAGCAGCTATGGAGAGTGACTGTCAGGAACTGCCCTGATTTCTTTGGCTAAAATTTCTAAAGCCAGAATGACAATATAATGTGCCCTTCTAGTCCTCACTAAGTGCTCAAACTGTATCAAACCTCAGGTTGTCAGATCAATCCCTTCTGTGGATGCAATGAAAATAACTTTATGTCACATTATTCATTTTAAAGAAGTCACTTATCTACAGATGCTTGGGCAAGCTTGTCATTAAGCACCTGTTTTTCATTTTTTATTACAGTGGAAATGTAAAGTTAGGATAGAGGTGAATTAAAAAGAATAATACATGTTCTGCACTCAAAAGACCTGAATTGAAACTCTGGTCATTTCATACGCTCGTTAGTTCTGTGATTTTATGTCAGAAAATGATCTTAAGTAATTTTCCCAGCACCTCAGTATTTCACATATATAAAACAGATATAATGGTACCCAACTCACAGGGTGGTTCTGAGAAGCAAATAAAACTAAACACATAAAAATGTTTCTGTAAATTACAGTTTGCTACACAAATTTTCATAGTAAGTGGATAAGTGAAATTAATTTTTCTCATTTTAAATTTCTAAATTTTAAGTAAGATTTCTCAAATTAGCCAACTTTGAGTCTTTAGTGTTAACCTAGACTCAGAGAAAAATACATCTGTAACGGAGAAGAAATAGTAAATTCATTCATTGTAAGCTGATGTTTCTACTCAAAAGGGTATAATGCAAATAGAAATACTACTATGATAATAGAAGTAAATGCAAAATGTTTGCATATCACAGAGTTGTTTGAATTTTATAAATCTTGTATTCCATATAACAAAAACAGAATTTCAAGTTGTATAAAATGAAAAACTTCTTTATGTTGTAAAAAAATTACTACCATTATAAAAAATAAACTTCTTTCTGATTTAAAAAAATTAAAAGATAATATAAAGAGGATTTAAACATACAAGACAAACTAAGAAAAATACTTACAATCCATGTGACATACAGTTTCATCATATCTTTATTATACAGAGAAATCATAAAATGGGGTGAAGGAACTCTTTCAGAGAAGAAAAACAATCTAATAGCAAACAGGCAAAAAGGCAATCCAGAAAAGACAAAATATACACCAATGCTTGATAAATGTGAAAAGATGTTTGTCATCACTAAAGTAATACAAATGAAATCAACATTTTCTGATCTAGCATAAAAATTCTCTAAACTTTATATCTGTGAGAGTGGGGAAATAGACACATTCATACACTGTTGGCAGTAATAAAAATTGCTTTGACTTTTCTGGAATTATATATATCATTATATCAATTATCCATAAACTTTGGCCCAGGAATTCTACATCCAAGACTTTATCCAAAGACGTTAACCATGTAAATTTAAAAAGATTTGCTTTTTAGTGTCCACAGTATTTGTTAATTGTTTATTT